CCGGACCGGCGAGATAAGACTTTGTATGTTATATGGAATAAAAAACAGTTTAAATACGAAGACTTTCAGGTGACAAATGTAAAAAGATAATAGATATGCCCGTGATAATTGCCATCTGTAATAGACATAGCTTGGGTCGAAGTTGAGGGTCAAAGTACCTACGTTATACGCAACGCCAACGCCAAAAATATACACAAAATATGAACTCAGCATTTGTGGTGTTAAATAGCTTATAACTGGACAATATGTCGTTGTTATTTAATCATTGTGATAAGTTGTAGTATGCATAGTGATAAGTTATATGCCTATGGGCGAAGCTTTAAACCGTTTTGAAAGAAAGCACGCCTATGGATGGAGCTTAAAACTATTCTGAAAGAACACACGAATATGGGCGGAACATAATAATAGTTTTGGAAAGAACCACGCCTATGGGCAGAGCATTAAATAGTTTAAAATGAAACAGCGACTAGGATCGGGGCTTAAAATATTTTTTTTAAAGAAAAAAAAGCATATGGGCGATACTTAATAAATGTTTTTGAAAGAAACCCCACCTATTGGCAGATCTTAAACGTGGTTTGAAACAAACTACGGTTTTGGGTAGAGTTTCAGATTTAAATCAACCTCAGGGAGAAGCTTAAACATTAAGAATAAAACCACGTAAATCAGAGGAGCTTAAGAATTAAACCAAGCCTTTGGAGAGAGCTTGACAATGAAACCACGTATTTGGGCGGAACTTAATAATTAAACCACGCCTTTGGATGTATCAGGTCTGTGTTAAATGACATGGGAAATCTTTTTTACATATAATTCAAATTTGACAGAACCTTTATAAATGTTTAAGTTTTTCGGTGGAAATTTCAGTAGAAATCTTAAATTTTGTGGAAAGATCGTTATATGGGGAATATCTTTTAAATTCAAAGGAAAGACAAAAATTGTCGTATGAAATTAGATTTGAGAATAAAAGGAACGATCGATCATCTGTCTCGTTTCCCTCCTTTTGTAATATATTTTTCGAGAATCAATTATCAATTATCATCAATTATTACATCGATGAAAATGTTATAAAGCTACACAACGATTGCCGGGTCAGCAATTATTTGCCTCTTAATTTTGGGGTTCACGAAGTTAGTGTGTTCGGTCCTCTTTTATTTAAAATATACATCAACGATCTAAAGCATATACAATTTGATGGTAAATTATTATTATGTGCTGATGACATATTTTTATTGTACGGATATAAATACGAACATTTTTTACAAATTCAAGCGGAATATGATTCTGCTATTTTTGCGAAATTTACTATTACAAATTAATCATAAATCCAAATAAGGCAAAATTCATTAGGTTTCAAACTCATATGATCAGACCTAATTATGAAATGGCTATTCATGTAGAAGGAACACAAATTATTGACTTGTTTAGTGTAAAATGTTCACGTATAACATTAAGCAATAATCTACAATTGGACTTGCATATCAACCACATAAAAAAATAAAGTATCTGCTGCTGCAGGAATATTGTACAAATTCAAATTTTAGACACAGAAACCAAAGCATTAATATATCAAACGCTTTTTCATTTCCATTCGACATATCTTCCCATAACTTCAGAGACCTCAAAACAAAGCCCTAAAATAGTTTACCAAGCTACCACATGAATTCCCAACACTAGATCTTTACAAATTCAAAGCAGTAAATGTCTACATCTATGAGGTTTATATTAATATTAAATTTTAATGGCACTGTTTAAAAACTTGAACGGCATAGATAATTTGTCAATATCTTTCAGACAAAATAGAGAAATTATAGGTAGATTGAGAAATAGAGAAAATATGTTGGACCAATGGAATATTATCAGTAATTATCGCGCTTTTAAAATTTCAAAATGTGGTCTGTCTATTTTTGCGAAGGATTTTTTCTGAATTCACGGTACATTATTGATTTTGATGTTTTTATTTCACAAGGTGGAATGCAACACCTCGAAATATTAACAAAGTATATTTATTCTTGAGCGGAATAAAAGTATGTGTTGATTTATGCATTTCCGTCTGTCTGATAATAGACCTCATGTTGTGTAAAAAGTTCATGTGAAAATCTCTCACACACCCTAATTGAGAAGCTGTAGAAGTTTCTCAGTGTAATATAAAGTGTGAGTAAATTGAAAACATTAAACACATTTTCTACAAAATCTGTTTTCAGTTATGCCTGTCTTGCAGCAAATGAGCGATATATTCTTGATCAGAATAAAATTTGTTTAACTGAATTTGCTGTGAAAATACCAAAAATTTTTAAATATTGAGAATTTATTTTTCAACTGTTTTGGTATTCAGCCTCACTGTTAGTCAACGTTTTGTATTTTAGGTAATTTGCATTTATATCATATTTTACTTCTATACTTCATCGACGGTATGTTCGGGAAATGCCCATGTAGGAAAATTTTAAGTTTATGTAGTTCAATCCTGGATTTGAAACGGATAGCATATATCAGGTGGAATGCAATGAATAAGACGAATACAGGGGTTTCTAATAAGAGTTTTTTTTTATTAATTACCGATATTACGGTAGTTGGCATTTCTTCTTTGACATTCGACAATGGAAATGTAAACCGTTCATCCACACATTTCAATTATAAAAATTCACTACACTTACTTAGCTGACTTGAGACAGAATATTTGTTCCATAAGCCGAGCTTGAAAAAGATTTCCAAGCGTGTCGGTCTTGAGCTTAGTTTTTCCAATTTTTCTCTCAAACACTTCAAGAGCAGCCTCATCTTCTTCTTCTTGGGTAGTATCAGCGTTTTGTTGAGTGTAATTTGGTCTGAATTTCATTTAGATCATAGTAGCATCTTTTGGTCAACACTTTTCTTCTACTGATTTGAAAGCTGATGTTACTAGCTTCGTTCATTACACAAATGGAAAAAATATTGCTGTTAGACCTTTGGCAAAATTTTCTCTCAAATTCATTTTTTTGCGCATACCCTGTTCAGATCCATATACCAGCACGCGTAGTATCAGCGTCTTGTTGACTTAGATCATAGTAGCATCTGTTGGCCAACACTAGTCTTCTCTGGATTTTAAAGCTGATGTTATTAGCTTTATACACAAATGAAAAAAATATTACTGTTACATTTTAGGTTCGCTGTTAAACACTTTATAGGATTGTATTACTGAAATTTGTGAAACAAGATAGTGGTGTGAAAAATTAATTACAAGTCGCTCAAGAACGTCTGATTTGTTCCTTCTGATTGTTTTCTGAAAAGAGCAAACTGTGCTTTTTGTTGCAGAGGTACTAGTGCGCACCAGCCACCAAGACAGAGAGACGGATGAACTTTTCTAGGTCGAGACACTTTTTTGTTCTTATCAAAGTGTATAAACATACATACTACTTTTACTGACAGTTTTTATATTTGCCGACAGTTTTTAATATGGCTCTTTTTATACCCCTTGCCAAACTGTGGTGATATTACGTCTTTGAGGATATGTAAAAGGCAAAAGGATAGACCATGGTTCCTTTTGAGAATATGCCTAGAATCACTTTCTGAGTCGATTTATGCTTGGGGTGTTTTGTTGCAAACCGATTTTACGATTTTCATTAAATCAAGTTTTCTTCAGATTTGATATTGCTCCCATATATTATTTCCGATTTTCGGTATATGGTGCTCTCATATATATTTGTACAATGGGCACAAATTACTAAAATGGGTCTACAGTATTGAAATGGGTGTAGAATGTCATCTTTTAATTTTAATGATAATCGTTTTAGAGTAAGATTCACATATTCATTCAATTTCATACCAATGGTCTTTCAAATACTTCAAAATAAAATATTATGAACATCTCTTGTATATAACCAAAGTGGTGAAGGGTATCAATAAGTCGGCCCCGTCCGACTTTTGTGCTTTCCTTACTGATTATTCTTGGATTTATCTAATAATTTCTGAACAACTTTTAATAGTTTGAATATGTAAAACTAAAATTCTGTACAAAAACTACATTTTGGAATAGAATAGCAAAATATTGGATTTTTAATTTATACAGGTTTTTATCATAACAATTTATTTTACAACCCAAGATCTTGAGATTAATTCTTTTGTATTATATATTTAGTATGACATAAATTCAATTGATACATATTTCGATCATTAATGGAGACATATTTTACTTTTTAATTAATAAACTCCGTATTAATTATCCGTTTTAATTGAATACGAGCAGATTTAAATATTTTTTAATATTGGTTATTAAGTTTAAAAATAGATTTTAATATGTTTTAATAAAAAATCCCATTGGATTTTATTGCAAAATAAACCGACAATTTGTCTATAAGCCATTTCTTCCATTAAAATTAAATCTACCAACTGGACTTGTTATCGGACAACATTTCCACGAAATCATTTGACTTTTTGTCATGGCTATCTAATCCCAAGGAAAACACTTCACATCGATGTTGCACATTGCAATTTGTGTTTTGTCTTGCTCTTTCTCTCTCCGACTCTTGAGCATTCAATTGTTCGTTTGCTCATTCATGTGATTGTGGTCAGTCTCATCTAAAACACGTTTGTCGCTTAAGTCTTTTGATTTAACTCTAGGCTACGTACTCATAATTTGTGTTCATTTGTGAGAATGTGTGTGTGTGCTTGCGCGTATGTCTTACATCCAATGATCCGTTAAGTAACCCCATTTCTATTTACAGTCCACTCAAATGCGCGCACTTTCCATGCACTCACACACACTCGACCGGACTGCTATGATCTGGTCTCTCTGTGAAGACAATCATCTAGTCACTTGTTTATGGCGAATGCCGGATCTCTTTGGTAGCCAGTGCTATTGTTGCGGCTGCTCTTCGTTGCCCAGATAAACTGGCATCTCACAGTTCGCTTTTGGTTTAAAAAGGATGATCGATGTAATAAAATGCTTGTTTTTTAACTATTAAATCATAATCACTGATTGTGTTTGCAAATACCAAGGCAGCGAATTGTAATTACAGACAGATGAAGCAGAAATGGAAAACGGGTGTGAGTGATGAACAGAAAAGTAGTTTGCTTTTATTTTTGCTACAAGAAAAACCACTCATTCGAATTTAGTTAAACTTATTATTACTATTTTCTATGGGTTTTATGTTGTCCGACCATGTCACATGGAATTTTCTTCCTTAAGCAACCAAACGAACGATCGACCAACTGTTGTTGGTTGGGTGATGTTGTTTTCAACACCCAAAAATGCTATTGGTTTTCTTTTAGTGGACATATTTTGTTTCTCAAAACCGGCTCTTTGGTTAAGTGCGTTATTATTACATTTTTTTATGTTTTTGTTTTTATTAGTGAATAACAGGTAAAGTTCTAATTCTGGATTGTTAACTCCATAGTTGTTGATATGTGTGGTGGACACACACATGTCCACAATGTCTTTGTGTCTGTGTGTGCTTTATATGTCCATCAAGGTATTCCATTAAACTTGCCTAATTGCTCTAGTTTATGAAATTGTTAGTATTGTTTTATTTTTATTAACCTCCATACAAGGTGGTGCTGATGGCTGCCGGTTGTCAATGAAGAATTTCGACACGTTTATGTCCGACAAACATAAAGTAGGTTATTATTCCAGATTGCAAAAATTAATGAGAATTTTTTGTTCTTTTATTTCTAGTTTCTGGTTTTCTAAACTGACGCATTTTCTTGTTCTTTATATTAGGTCATACGGACTGGTTCTGAACTGGTCAGATGCGTTATAGAATTCCGTATATTTTATATAATTTTATGTATTCAAAACAGGCTATTAATAGAATTAAAATATGGTGGACTGAATTCTTTGATTTCTTAATGCAAGATATACGAATTCTAATATCATGGGTTCTATATATGTGAGATCGTCCATGGAACAAATATGAACAATAACTCCAACAAAATATTAAAAAAATAATAATATAAAATAAATAATAACCTTACTAATCCGATATTGTAACCTGTATAAACGAAACTCTCCACAATAAGCTGTGCATTAAAAAATCAAAAATCGGTCAGAGATCCTTATATAGAGCTTTGTCAAAGAGGAGATATATAAAATAGGAGACACTACGGTTGGAAACTCAGTTAGTACACATATAGATTATTGTGAGGGGATGTGTTGGGCTTTAATTGGAGGGTTATGTCAAAATAATAATCTATGTTACCCCAGCAACACTGGAAAACCAAATTTCAGCATGTTCCTTCTGACAAACCAAATTTGCTATTAAACCAAATTTGGACTCGCAATACCAGACTTCAGCCACTTCAGATGGAAAATGCGACTAAAACCTTAAAAATACTAAAAATGGTTCGGGACCCTAATATGGGGACTACATCAAAACATGTACCTATAACAAAAAAAAATTGTATCAACCTCCAAAATCACGATATACAGCCACTTTTCTTCAGAAAAGGTCGTAACCCTTATATGGGACTATACCAAAACGTGGACCACTTTCTATAACTAGCATTCAGAAAATAAAAACATCATATATGCAAAATGTTGAAGCTCAATCTTAATTGATAGAATTCGACGGTCGGATTGATAGACTGTGGGATGGATAGATGGACAGACTGATTAACTGATAGATGGATGGACCGACTGACTGACGTGAACATAACTACCTTGAGTGTTCTCCAATACTTCAGAGTGTGGGTAATGGAAATCAACGTCTGGGCTCGGATATCAAATAATTATTTATAAATCCACGTCTGAGGCTCCGATATCCCTTGACAAATTATTTTTGTGATCTGGGGATCTGATATTCCTTAAAAATCCATTCCTTGGGCTCGGATATCCCTTGGGAAAGATATTCTTTGAAAAATAATTCTTTAAAAATCCACGCCTGGGGCTCGGATATGCTTTGAAAAATAATTCTTTAAAAATCCACGCCTGGGACTCGGATATGCTTTGAAAAATAATTCTTTAAAAATCCACGCCTGGGGCTCGGATATGCTTTGAAAAATAATTCTTTAAAAATCCACGCCTGGGGCTCGGATATGCTTTGAAAAATAATTCTTTAAAAATCCACGCCTGGGGCTCGGATATGCTTTGAAAAATAATTCTTTAAAAATCCACGCCTGGGGCTCGGATATGCTTTGAAAAATAATTCTTTAAAAATCCACGCCTGGGGCTCGGATATGCTTTGAAAAATAATTCTTTAAAAATCCACGCCTGGGGCTCGGATATGCTTTGAAAAATAATTCTTTAAAAATCCACGCCTGGGGCTCGGATAGGCTTTGAAAAATAATTCCTTAAAAACCCACGCCTGAGGCTCGGATAGGCTTTGAAAAATAATTCCTTAAAAACCCACGTCTGAGGCTCGGATAGGCTTTGAAAAATAATTCCTTAAAAACCCACGCCTGAGGCTCGGATATGCTTTGAAAAATAATTCTTAAAAAATCCACGCCTGAGGCTCGGATATGCTTTGAAAAATAATTCTTTAAAAATCCACGCCTTAGGCTCGGATAGGCTTTGAAAAATAATTCCTTAAAAACCCACGCCTGAGGCTCGGATAGGCTTTGAAAAGTAATTCCTTAAAACCCACGCCTGAGGCTCGGATATGCTTTGAAAAATAATTCTTTAAAAATCCACGCCTGAGGCTCGGATATGCTTTGAAAAATAATTCTTTAAAAATCCACGCCTTAGGCTCGGATATGCTTTGAAAAATAATTCTTTAAAAATCCACGCCTTAGGCTCGGATATGCTTTGAAAAATAATTCTTTAAAAATCCACGCCTTAGGCTCGGATATGCCTTGAAAAATAATTCTTTAGAAATCCGCCAGTTAAAATTGATGATTGTCCTCTAAAAAAAATAGGATGTATGGTCACCTTAGCAAAATTAATGCATATACACATACATATTTACACGAATTATAAATATGTATATACGGAACTAGCTCTCATAATTGAAATGTTTACAGCCATGATTTTACTTCCCTAATTAAGGTTAAATCAAATCACATGAGAGTAACAAAAATACTCCAACAATCCTCTATTGTTAAGTCAATTATAATAAAAAAACAAAGTCAAATTGTGCGTTGGGTAAGTCAAAAAAATCGAATTCCCTGCATTTGGGAAACAAGTAACAGAAAAACATAAAACTACATAAACATGCAATTGGTAGCAATTGAATCTTACAAACGGATATTGCTGCAGCTGAGGAAAATAAAACTCAACTGAAGACTTTGCTGATAATTATGTCATGAGGGTGGGAAAAATTTGCCATCAACATTTCAACATTGAGATCGGCAACAAACAAAAAGAAAAACATGAATATATGTGCATATTTTACACCAAATAAAAATAAGATGAAGACGAATGGTTGTGAGATTTCGTGGCAACAGATTTGCTATTTGTGCAAAGAGGTGTTTCGCAAAGAAACAAAAAACAAACAACTGATGTGACTACTATGTGTGTGTGTTTGTATACATTTAGCCAATCCATTGCAGTGGCAGTGGGTGTTGTAAAATCCATTAAAAAATGCATCAAGTTTACAACAAGTTGCAGTTTCAATGCTCACTATACCTGCCCTTTTCCGTTTGCAACGAGTTTCACTCAACACCACAACTGCGGATATTTATCTTCTAGGCAGATGCCACATCTGATAGCCTTCGGTAGAAAGTTTTTGTTTTCGCAAAAATATCTCTTCTGTCCTTTTCATAAAGTTTTTGTTGTTGTTGTTTTTTTCTTTGCTTGCATTTGAATGCAATGAAATGTTAATATTTGTGCAAAAATTGTGCGACGAATGTGATGTGATTTTTGTGCAAGATTTTCACACGATTATTTGTGATTGTGTGGTGTGCTGTTTATAAGTCAGCTGCAGTGAACAGAAATATGAATGGCATTGTCGAGACGTTGCATTTGTCGTTTTCACTTCAATTTTCGAAACAATAGAGGAAAGGGAAACATAGCGACTACCAGTGAAATAAAACCTTGTGAAACCTTTTTTCGCTTTCCGAGAAACGGAAAAAATCACTTAAAGATCTGATGATATTTGCCGTGAGCATATGGGTTTGGAGGGGTAATAAAACGCATTTTAATTAAATGCGGAAAATGAAGGTCTACTCATCCACTCGCATTGAGTTCAAAGCCAAATAATTTCACTTGCAATTTTAATCAAAAGAATTAAAATATATTTTTATAATGTATGTAAAACCATTAAGCGTAGACGTATAATCGGAAGGGAAAGGTCACGTGATACCCATATCCTGGTACATACATCATTATAATTGATATCAATATTATTGAAACTTCTCTCAACTAGAGTTGGTCCGAAACCATAAAACCCAAGCAAAACCATTACGATTTTGACAAAAGAGTTATTTTCATTATTCCATTGGAATATGGAAATTACATAGAACCAATTTTCTTCTTCAAAAATCAGATGAAAATACATGGGAGCCTTTGGCCAAAAAACGTGACATGTGCCAAATTCCTTCCAATTTTGATCATAAATGCTTGAAAATTAAAATGGACAGACTGACGAGAATATGTGTGCTGTCTCGTTTCCCTTTACCTGTTATAAACGTATGCATAAAGACATAATATCCTGTACCACAGTGTGGTAAAGGGTATAAAAGCATACCTCTGATTCCCCAAATATTAGACGAAAACATTTTACGATTATTGGTTGATAAATGCGACAGAGCTATATCGTATCGCCTAAATGAATCTTAACGTCATAGAAAGATGCAGATTAGCAATGTTTTTAGCTTGCATATGCGTATAATTTTAGTCTGTTGTAAAAACCAATACAAAAATCGGTTCTATTATCTGAAAATTCGTTTAATACATTTAGCGATACGAATCTGTATTCCGCGAATAATTGTTTTTAACTTGATATATATTTAATGTAAATATTTCAGACGACTTGTAGACATGAAGTTTTCAGAGCAATGTTCGAGTCAAAATGAAAAAGGATAATGAAGACATACTAATATCGATTTAATGCCTTTGAGGAACCTATTTGAAATCTTATGATCGAACTTTTTGTTGAATATTTGGATGTCACAAAAAAAAACTCATCCTGTTGTATATTATGGGTCAAGAAAATAAGGACTAAAAAAGTAGTAAAGTCATACAGGGCCGACTTTATGATACCCTTCACCACTTTGGGTGTATTCAACAGGACCATTGATACGTTTCGTGTCAACCGGTGCAACATTTACCAACGAACATACAAATTGAAGCTATATCTAAATCTGAGTCGATTTCAACAAAATTATATGTCAATCGTACAAACTTTGGGTCTTTAGTGCACACTTTACAGAAAATCGTACGAAAATATATATGGGAGCTTTATCTAAATCTGAACCGATTTTCACGAAACTAAACATACAGCATTCTAGACTCAATTCAGTACGCAATACCAAATTGCGTGCAAATCGAAAGATATATAGGGACTTTGGTGCACCATTTCCATAAAATCGGACGAAACTATATATGGGAGGTATATCTAAATCTAAACCGATTTTCTGGAAACTTAACACACATAATTCTAGACTTAATCGAGTACGCTATGCCAAATTTCGTGCAAATCCAAGGATATATAGGGACTTTGGTGCACCATTTCCATAAAATCGGACGAAACTATATATGGGAGCTATATCAAAATCTGAACCGATTTTCAGGAAACTTAACACACATCACTCTAGACTTACTTCCTTCTGCTGTGTCAAATTTCGTGCAAATCGAAACATAAATAAGGATTGTTTTACACCATTTACATAAAATCGGAGGAAACTATATATGGGAGCACAAAGACATAATACCCTGTACCACAGTGTGGTGAAGGGTATAAAAAGAAGTACAATTATTCAACAGAGAAGGTGGATATTTTTTACATAAATTTTCCTCATTTAATTTTGCCTACGACCTGCAATAGACGCAAAAAAAATATATAAAGCATTTTCTTTGGGAACTTTGGAGTTACCACCAAAAAATCTTATTTCAAAAATTATAATTCAGAAACAAGGTCTCTGTCCTTCTAGGTTTGTAATATATACGCCAAGGCCATTCATACCTCTAAGGAATTTTCCATCTCCCGAAGTCGTAATATGTATAAAATTTCAATGCGATATTTATGCCCTACGATGTCAAGGTGTGCTTTGTGTGACCCCAAATTTCGCAAGTGGGGTTCGGACCCTGTTGTTTTTGAAAATTTAGGGGATCAAATATACCAAAAACGTTAGAGGCTATAATTATGACCCGTACGCCACGAAATTTTATATCAGGGAGGGAATGGCCAAAGAATAAGCATGACTGACTTTTGTGTGAAAAATGACAACATTTGTATTCTGGGGCGTATATATTACTCCTGTATAATATAGAATATTATATATTACTCCTGTAGAATATAGGCCCGAGAAGCTGTTATTATATACAAGAGGTGTGGTTAAACTTTAAATTATATTGTTGTATGCACTCGGATGTGGGAGTTATAAATATTTAAATATTAAAGGGTGCCCATGTGTTATGATATTGTTTAGTATTACTATTACGCCACTAGAGGGCGGAAATGTCGCTCCGATCGCTTTGAAATTTTACATGATTTCAAGGACGACGTCTATTATTTTCGGTATTGTTGAAATGATATTTACCGGGCGCAATGAAACAAAAAATTTATATTTGTTAGACTTTCTAGTCGCTCTAATATTATTATGATTATATGCAGAATATCACGTACTTTACACGGTGAAGGCAATCCGACCAATTACTTAAGACAGCTGTTTAGATGATGATAGTCAATATTCTGAGGATCACATCAATCAATACTTAAAGTGATCGATTTTTTTCATGGGGAAAATGTTCACCTCGGGAAAACAAGATTTGAAAAATATGCCAGGGTTTTAAAGTGAAGCTGTTGACCTATAATACCGACTGCACCCTCTTGACCGACTAAAGGTCAACAAATATTACTAATATTAAGTACAGATTCCCTTCACGGTGGGTTGTGTTGTGATGTTCGGCTTTCAATTGTGACCTATAGGTCGACTCGAAAAAACACCAAAAATTATGTTCTCGGTCTAATTCATCTCAAAATTTTTATCTGATCATCACCGAAAATTATAGCCGTTGTAGTTCATACCTGGATCCTCATGGAAAATGTAAAAGCGATCAGCGCTATATTTTTGCCCTCTAGTATGGTAATGGGTTACTGAATACTATATCAATACGTAAGCACCTATAAATATTTAAGTGTATCTCCCACATCCGAGTACATACGACAATATAATTGGTATCAATTTAAAGGTCAACCACTCCGCTTGGATATACTATCAACTTCTCGGGTCTATGACTTTCAGGAGTAAACATATACGCCATAGAATACAAATTTTGTAATTTTTCACACAAAAGTCGGGCTCCATTTAACCCGCTAAATATTGACCGATCTTTCTGAAAACAGACATGCTTATTCTTTGACCCGATTCCCTTCTCCATGTAAAATTTCGCGTTGTTCGGACCATAATTGCGGCCTCTAGAGCGACCAGAAAAACCGACAAAAATTGAGCATTTGGTCCATTTCACCCTCTAAATATTAACCGATATTTACCAAAAACAGTAGGGGTCTTCATTGGGCAGAACACATCCAACATGCAAAATTTCGTGAAGATTGGTCCATTACTGTGGCCTGTATCGTGTTTACAAATTATAATGGACAGACGGACGGATGGACACACATGTCTAGATCGACTCAGCTAGTCGAGACATGACGATCGGAATACTTAAAGGTGGGTCTAGGACCAATTTTTCGTGGCGTTACAAAATTTTGGGGCTGCACAAAGCTATAACACCCTGACAACATAGTTGTGTAGGGTATAATAAAAAATCAACCTTATTTGTTTATACTTATATATAATTAATTCCACACTTTAAATAAAATGTTCGTTACATTCCTAAACCAATAACCCTCAGTATGAAAAATAACCAAATAAACTTTAAATGAAAGTGAAGAAATTTCATTAAAAATGTCTTGTCCTCCTCCCTAGCATTTGATGAAATTTCACGATAAATTTTTTCAACTGCCCACAACAACAAACGAACGATTTCACCTACTTAACTGAAAAATTATCACCAACAATGCAATTTTCTGCCACAACGCGTGTTTGCATTCAACCGAAACCTATTTCTTCCGAAAACAAGACAAGGCAACCATCCAACCAACCATTGGGTGGGAAGTTCAGGCCATCAAATTCGTGAAAATGAAAAAAAAAAACAACAACAAAAATACAGACGGTGCAGTAAAGAGTGTATAATTTTCTCAACAGCGACATTGCAAATTGCAGCATGAAATATATACATATTTATAAACTGGAGGATTTAAAATGCAGAAATTTAGAATGCAGCTTATTTTTCAGCATGAAAATTTGAAAATTTTAACACTTTGTTGCATGCAGATGGATATTTATACACTTTCAAGACTAATAAAATTTTATACACACAGAGCTTTCAAATCTATGTGAAAATATTGGAACCCTATAAAGTGTTCCCTTAAGCTATGCTAAATTTTACTTAGGAGATCCGAAATAAAAAAGGACTACCTACCGATGTTAAATGTTACAATAATTCTTACAAAATTTTTTCTTTAATTTGTACAGCTCACCAGGGATGTGCTTTTCACGACGGTGCGTCCACAGAAAGCGAAGGGGTGCGCTTCATACGCCTACGAGAAGATGCTGAAATTGGGAAGGAAATTCTAACAATAAAAGCATATCCACGTTCAAAACTCTCCCTACAATCTCCCGATAATACGGGCGATCATAAATATTTTGCCATACATGAATATAATTTAACCGCCGTTGTGGTGACCCTGACACGGTCCCTTGAAGACCTTGTCGATCGAGATGTGCCAAGAAATCTATTAAAATTTCGCATTGTTTGTGCAGCGAAAAATGAGAAACTCGAGGAGGGCAGTTACCTATCGGTGACGGTGTACATTGAAGATGTCAACGATAATAAACCGGAATTCCTAAATACCCCCTATATTGTAGATATTAAAGAGAATACACCACCAGGAACAATTGTGTTCGAAGGCATACAGGCCTTTGATAGAGATAAGCCAAATACCCCAAATTCGGAGGTGCATTTTAGTATGTCAACAGTGCCAGAACAGTTATCAGCGGATGGTAGTCCATATTTTGCTCTCAAGTCACCGCATCGTCCGTTGTTGATATTGAAAAAGGAATTGGATTTTGATAATGGTATACGGCTGTTTAAATTGCCTTTGTTCGCCTGGGATCGTGGTACACCAGCGAATCAGGTGAATACCACCATCACGATAAATGTCAAAGATGTTGATGATCTGCCACCGAAATTTACCGAGGGTGTTTATCGTTCGAAAATTGATGAATTTTATCCAATGACGGTAGGATGATTCAAAATATTTCAATCAAGGTTTTTTTAGTATTTTTTATTTTATTGTTGCAGGGAGTGCCTATCAGAATACCCTTGTACTTCAATCCACCCATTATGGCCTTTGACCAGGACTCCTTGAATGCATCCTTGGTGTATGATATCATTTCGGGAAATGAGCGGAAACTGTTTCGTGTTAATCCGAATAATGGAATTGTATATCTGCAAAAGGAAATCGATTTGGAGGAAGAAAGTCTGCCGGGTAATACATTCGTGTTACAAATTGAAGCTCGTCAAAAGGATAATCCGCTGAGAAAGGCTTTAGCAAGGTGAGACAATTGAAAACAAAAACTCCTTAAAAATCCAGTCCCTGAAAAAAGTACCCCTTAAAAATACAGTCATTAACTAGCCTTTGAAAAGTACGCATTAAAAATTCTAGCCACAAAAAGTCCCCAAAAAAGTACTCCTTTATAATCCAAAACTAACACGTCCCTGAAAAAAATTTTTTCCTCAAGAAGTGCCTGAAAGTTGGTATTTAAAAAAGATAGTCCCTGAAATAATATTTATTCCTCAAGAAGTGCCTGAAAATTGGTCTTTAAAAAAGACAGTCCCTGAAAAAGTCCTCTTTAAAAAATCCACGCCTTAGATAGTCCCTGAAAAAGTCATCTTTAAAAAATCCACGCCTTAGATAGTCCCTGAAAAAGTCCTCTTTAAAAAATCCACGCCTTAGATAGTCCCTGAAAAAGTCCTCTTTAAAAAATCCACGCCTTAGATAGTCCCTGAAAAAGTCCTCTTTAAAAAATCCACGCCTTAGATAGTCCCTGGAAAAGTCCTCTTTAAAAAATCCACGCCTTAGATAGTCCCTGAAAAAGTCCTCTTTAAAAAATCCACGCCTTAGATAGTCCCTGAAAAAGTCCTCTTTAAAAAAAAAATCCACGCCTTAGATAGTCCCTGAAAAAGTCCTCTTTAAAAAATCCACGCCTTAGATAGTCCCTGAAAAAGTCCTCTTTAAAAAATCCACGCCTTAGATAGTCCCTGAAAAAGTCCTCTTTAAAAAATCCACGCCTTAGATAGTCCCTGAAAAAGTCCACTTTAAAAAATCCACGCCTTAGATAGTCCCTGAAAAAATCTTCTTTAAAAAATCCACGCCTGCTATGAGTCCCTGAAAAAATCTTCTTTAAAAAATCCACGCCTGCTATGAGTCCCTGAAAAAATCTTCTTTAAAAAATCCACGCCTGCTATGAGTCCCTGAAAAAATCTTCTTTAAAAAATCCACGCCTGCTATGAGTCCCTGAAAAAATCTTCTTTAAAAAATCCACGCGATAGTCTGAAAAATCTTTAGTCCCTGAAAAAATCTTCTTTAAAAAATCCACGCCTTAGATAGTCCCTTAAAAATTCCAAGTTAAAAAAATCCACGCCTTAGATAGTCCCTGAAAAAGTCTTCTTTAAAAAATCTACGCCTTAGATAGTCCCTGAAAAAATCTTCTTTAAAAAATCCACGCCTGCTATGAGTCCCTGAAAAAATCTTCTTTAAAAAATCCACGCCTGCTATGAGTCCCTGAAAAAATCTTCTTTGAAAAATCCACGCTTGAGACAGTCCCTGAAAAAATCTTCTTTTAAAAATCCACGCCTTAGACAGTCCCTGAAAAAGTCTTCTTTAAAAAATCCACGCCTTAGATAGTCCCTGAAAAAGTCTTCTTTGAAAAATCCACGCCTTAGATAGTCCCTGAAAAAGTCTTCTTTGAAAAATCCACGCCTTAGATAGTCCCTGAAAAAGTCTTCTTTGAAAAATCCACGCCTTAGATAGTCCCTGAAAAATAGTTAGATAGTCCCTTCTTTAAAAAATCCACGCCTTAGATAGTCCCTGAAAAAATCTTCTTTAAAAAATCCACGCCTTAGATAGTCCCTGAAAAAATCTTCTTTAAAAATCCACTCTTCTGGTCTCTGTAAGTCTTTGAAAAAATCTTCTTTGAAAAATCCACGCCTTAGATAGACCCTGAAAAAATCTTTTTTGAAAAATCCACGCCTTAGATAGTCCCTGAAAAAAATCTTCTTTAAAAATCCACGCCTTAGATAGTCCCTGAAAAAATCTTCTTTAAAAAATCCACGCCTTAGATAGTCCCTGAAAAAATCTTCTTTGAAAAATCCACGCCTTAGATAGTCCCTGAAAAAATCTTCTTTGAAAAATCCACGCCTTAGATAGTCCCTGAAAAAGTCTTCTTTAAAAAATCCACGCCTTAGATAGTCCCTGAAAAAGTCTTCTTTATAAAACCCACGCCTTGGATAGGCCCTGAAAAAATCTTCTTTAAAAAGTCCACGCCTTGGATAGTCTTGGAGAAAAATATTATTTAAAAAATCCTATCAATTAGGACTTCGCGACCCCTCACACCACTGTATCCCCTTTTGCGACATTGAGTTGTTTTTTCCTCACATAACATCCAGCCATAAGAATGAGACCATAATTTATGGCTAAACTATTTTTTCTATGTTTTGTTACAACATTTGGAACTGGCGTGGCAGAAAAATGTGTTAATTAACAAATGTTTTGCTTTGTGTTCAAAACTCTCTGTCGCCAAAGATATCTTTGCGATGCTGTAGTTTTTCCTTGTCTTTGTCGTCTTAACGTTATTGTTATTGTCGGGACATTGCTTTATCTTGGTCAACGCTGTTGCCTCTGGCGCAGAGCCCGCCAGTCATGTCATTGCAAAAGGAAATAAAAAACAAAAAAGCCAGACGACGCGACGTGTCAATATATGGTTAAGTGTGTTAAATGGCCACGGTTCTAGGGTTTTGTGTGGAAAATTGCTTCATTTATGTGAAATGCGTGCCGTGTTAAGTTTTGTTATTGTTTTGTGACTATTGTTGTTGCTGTTGGTTGTTGGCGAGAGCGCAATAATGGTTCGGATGCAGTTGGAGGTGATGATGGTTTTGTCGAGATGTTCTATTTTTGTTAGCTGCTGTTGTGGAAAATGTTTTTCTTTTGAAAATTAGCACAAATTCATTTAGAGTTTTTCTTTTGCAACGATATTTGTTCTAACGGTTCTGTTTGTGTTATTTTCTTATGTTCATTTTCTTCCTTTTGTTCTTAAAGTGACACAATGCCCCTTTTTTACTTAAGTGTTAAATTTGAATGTTACATACGATCTTTTCCCTCTAAGCTCCTATTTGCATAAACAGTTACATAATTTGGAAGGTGTAGTTAGATAATTGGTGTGAGCTGGTTTTGAATTTTTAATTAAAGATGTTGAAGACAATATATAATTTTTTAATTTTTTAAATAATATTTTATTTAAGACCTATCTAAGGCGTGGGTGACGTATGGGATGATAGTTACCAAGCAACGGCTCTGATTGGCTTTCACATGACGAAGTCCAGGCTTATCTTGGTCCCTCTTTCATCTCAATTGTGGACACTGACCTCCCCGCGGTGTCACCTGGGGTAACTAGGTTCATCATCCATTGATATAGTGAGCTGATATGTGCCGCTACTTCACCCATAAGAACAATAAAAAATGGATTGAGGCGTCGGGTTAGTTGCCCACACTCGGAAAACCCCTCCTACTATGAAAAAGCAACGAAAAAGAAAACCAAACCACCCCTAATGTTGACAACCCCCGCAAACGTATAAAGGACCACGGGTTGCCAATCTGCACTTGGAATGTTCGCACATTGTACAGAACATGCGCAGTTTTCGCCTTGGCGGATGTAGTCAAGAATTACAAAGCCGATATTATTGCCTTACAGGAAATGCGATGGAAAGGGACTGGCGTAAGTAAATCAGATGATTACTCCCTGTATTATAGCTGCCATGAAACGAGACGAGAATTTGGCTGCGGATTTATGGTTAATAGGAGAATAAAAGACCTCGTCTCCAGATTCACTCCGGTAGATAAGCGAATTGGTTTAATCTGTATAAAAGCGAAGTCTTATTTGAGCCCATGCTCCGACCGAAGACAAATATGAACATACCAATGTAGCAGCAAAGGTGCGATCTAATGTAACACGGGAACTCGACGTCGAAAAGCTGCAAACACAACAGGTAGTAGAGGCCTACTACGCTCAACTTACCCACCTGTTTGACGAAAGCACTTCTTGTTCCGACAATAGTATAGAAGCACAATGGCAAAGGATTGCCCACTCCCTACACACTGCAGCAAAAGCAACACTTGGATACCAAGCACCACCACTAAGAAACCCATGGTGCGATCAGGAGTGTCGTAATGCTACTGATGTGAAAAAACGCAGCGTATAGGGCAACCCTGCAGACAGCAGCAACACGTAATGTGATGGAGAGAGGAGAAACGTGTTTTCAGAAAAAGAAGAAAGAACAAGAAAAAAGTGAGCGACAGCGTGAGCAAATCGAGATGTACAGGAGTCAGAATGAAGTCCGAAAATTTTACCAAGAGTAAAACACCAAACCGAAGGCTTTGGTGCAGGTACATCCTCCTGTAGAGATGAAGTTGGAAATCTGGTGACAGATACAGGCAGCGTGCTGAGGATCTGTAAGGAGCATTTCGAAAAACTTCTGGTATCAAATAGTAGCGGTGAAGAGAATACTCCAGAACCAATAATAGATGACGGTATAGAGTGTATACCACCTAGACAAGATGAGGTCAGAATATCAATTAATCGACTGAAGAATAATAAAGCAGCAGGTGCCGATGGGTTACAAGCCAAACTATTCAAGACTGGCGGTCAGATGCTGGTCAGGAGCATGCACATTTTGGCTAGAGGAATGCATGCCCAATGATTGGAACCTCAGCATCCTGTGTGACGTGCACAAAAAGGAGACAAGACGATATGTGCCAATTATAGAGGAATAAGTCTCCTTCCCATCGCATATAAAGTGCAATCCAGCGTACTATGTGAACGACTGAAACCAATGGACAATGCCATTATTGGACCATACCAATGCGGCCTCAGACCTGGTAAGTCCACCATTGACCAGCCCTATCCGTTCAGAGGTATTTAAAGCCATGTCTGCGTTTGGCATTCCTGCAAAATTAATTCGGCTATGCAGGATAACTTTAACCAAACGATGATTCAGACAAGGTGACAGTTTATCGTGTGACCTTTTTAACATCCTGTTGGAAGAGGTCATACGAGAGGCAAAGGTGAACAGAAACAACACATGTTACTCGCCTACGCCGATGACATCGACATAATGGGTCGAACATTGCGAGCGGTGACAACCACATTTAAACAAATTGAGAAGGAGTCTGCCAAAGTGGGTCTGGCAGTAAACGGCGAGAAGACCAGTTGATTGTATCAACGCGCAAGACGTCCAGTAGTCTCAGACCAACTGTGCAACTTGAGAACTACAGCTTCGA